GGGGGCCTCAGGACTTCATGCAAGAAGTAGTGGCTTATTTTTTATTTTTTTGCTAAATTGAGTCATTTGTACAGAACCGATGGCTTCATTATTGCAGTAATATTTTCCGTGCCACTATTTCCAGAAGTTTTTCTCTCCGCTGCTGTGCCTGATCTAAAAAACATCGGCACGCTTAAAATGGCTAGACGGTTCCGAAAAGCTCATCTGGTCTTGAAGGGGCTCGTCCAGCGCCCCTCTGACACTGTGGCTGGCCTGCTGCACCAAAACGAATCTTCGGAAAAGTTACTGAAGTGAACAAGTAGACAAGAACGAAGCGTAGAGAGACGCATCTTCTTCTCTCCTCTCCCCCACCTTCGCTGGGATGAGGCCAGCGCAACGCCGCTGCCTTGCTGGTGCCCAGCGGGGCTCCACTCCTTCCTCTCGTATTTATGTTTTATCCCTCCTTCAGACAGCACAACAGCGAAAGGGGCAGGAATGAGCTGCCTGGACGAAGTACCGTTCCGAACGGCCGGGAGCTTCGAAGGCGGCTCGGCGAGAGAGAGCGCTTGGGTGAGCGCGCCGGCCGTCGACGTTCCTGACTGCGCCGAGCTCCTCGTGAGCACCATGGTGAGCCGACCCCTTCCGGGAGCCGCGGCCGGGTCCCTTCCCGCGGCCGGCGTTAAAGGCAATTCAGCTTTTTTGTTTTTTAATTTCCTAAAGAGGAGAAGGAGGACCTTTCCTCAAAACTGACAACCTCTTCATGGGTTTTTTTTTGTTTGTTTGTTTTAAGAAGAGTGGGCAGAGGTGAGGACAATTTGCGGTGGTGGGTGTGAGGAAAGGGGTTGGTTTGGGCTCGTTTTGTTTTCTGACCTCGCCTGAGCGTGACTGTGAGGGTGACAGAGCATTGGCACAGGTTGCCCAGAGAGGTGGTGGAGTCTCCTTCCCTGGAGATGTTCAAAAGCCGTCTGGATGTGATCCTGGGCAATCTGCTCTAGAGGACCCTGCTTGAGCAGGGAGGTTGGACTAGATGATCTCCAGAGGTCCCTTCCAACCTCAACGATTCTGTGATTCTGTGTTGGGGGAATGGCGAGCTGCAGGGTGTTTTTCCTCGGGGAGGCCTCGCCAAGGACGAGTTTCAGGCCCTGCTCTGGCAGTCTGGAAGTCCCTTAGGCCGGCGTCGCTGTCCTCGGTTTGGCGCGGGGCAGGGACGCGCTCCTCGCCGCGGACCGCTGCCTCGCTGCGTTTTCGGTGTTTTCGTCGGGCAGATCGGTTCGGGTCCGTTTCTCATCACCGCTGACAAGTTCTCTGCCCTGTGGTGCGGAGCAGCAGCAGCAGCATTCCTGTGCTGTGAATGTACTCGTCTGCCAGGCCAGGGAGACCTTGTTTGGAGAGCGCTGCCACACACGAGACTCGTTTTTTCCAGGAAGCCCTCAGATTTAAGTCACAAACACGGTTATATTTTAAGACAGAAGATGTGGAAATGGCTCCTCTGTCCTGTGACCTCTCGAGGTGCCCGAAGCAGCTCTGCCCGGCGCGGCGTGCAGGCTCGCAGGCCAGGAGAGGGCTGGTGCCAGCCCGTGCCGCTCTTCTCCTTCCACCAGCCGTGAAGACGCAAAACACCTCGGAGCAGAGCTTTAAATGGGACTGAGAACAGTAATGACCTTGTAGGTAGCTTTTTCCAGGTGCAAATGTTGGGGTTCCCTCTAGGGATGAGGCCTGCGCTGGCCAGGCTTGCAGCCCTGGCGCACGTAGTCCTGCTGCTCGGGTAAACAGGGGCTCCGTGCGGATCTGCGCAGCCTTTCACGCGCCGGGCGTGAAGCGTTCGGCTCGCTGCGCGTGCGTTCGAACGCTCGCCGGGCGCTTTGCCTTCGGGCGCCCTGACTAACTGCTTGTTGCTACCCCGCAGCACGACCTCTCGCTC